ATTTTCGCACAGATGAAACACACCTGCTGCGCTCATACTGGTTTGCAAACGCATATTGTTAAGATGCATTGCGCACACTTGTTTCTGAAAACGCAATAAAAAAAGTGAAAGCCGCTTACAACTCCCTGTAACGCCGAATTAGAGCGCAGCTCTTGAGGAGGAGGAGGGAAGGACGCTGGGGGGGGGGGGGGTTAGACTAACCAGGGGGGGGGTCACGTGACCCCCAATGCCGATGATGTCATCACTGACGTCACTGATGATGTCATCAGTGACGATGACGATGCGGGTACCGATGACGTCATTGGTGACGTCACTGATGACTTCACCAGTGATGATGACGATGCGAATGTCGGTGACGTCATCAGTGACGTCGCTGACGACGTCATCAGTGATGATGACGATGCCGGTGACGACATCAGTGACGTCACTGATGATGTCATCAGTGATGATGACGACGCGGATGTCGGTAACGTCACCAGCATCCACATCGTCATCATCACTGATGACGTCACCGGCATCCACATCGTCATCATCACTGATGACGTCACCGGCATCCACATCGTCATCGTCATCATCACTGATGATGTCACCGGCATCCGCATCGTCATCGTCATCATCACTGATGACGTCATCAGTGTCGATGACGTCATCGGGAGGTCACGCGACATCGGCGGGGGTCACGTGACCTCGGGGGGTCACGTGACCTCGAGGAGGGGGTCACGTGACCTCGGGGGGTCACGTGACCTCGGGGGGGGTCACGTGCCCCCCCACGAAGTCACGTGACCCCGGTGGGGGGCTCGCGCGGTGCATTATGGGACATTTCCCATGATGCACCGCGCGGTTACGGCGACGCCGACGCCACTCAAGCCGGAAACGGGCCCCTAAGAGCTGCGCTCTAAAACAAAAAAACAGACAGGGTTAATGCCCCCAATGACTCTGCAATCTGCCCCAATAAAAATCGCTGGTTGACAATGAGTTTGAGACCAGTTCGCTGTGGCGAGGGAACCAGACGAGCAGCCTTGTGGCATCGCCTGCTCTGCGCCTAGCAGACAACAAAGCGAGGGTGTGCTTGCAAACGGGAAGAGCGAGTCCGCCACACGGCGTATGCGCGGAGTTCGGGCAGCGCCTGCTATGTGGCGCTGCGGATACGAGACGGCCACCGCTGCCGTGTTACAGCTAACAGTGTCCACGATAATACCACTGCTTTACCAATGCGTGCCGGCCAGACAAAACGCAAGGATAGTTATACTGTCACAAGAAACTAAGCAGCAAAATTGAGCATTCTCTACCCTACAAACACCCATGAAAGTATACAAGTTACACAAAGAACAACAAAAGCGCCTTGGATTGCTCGTTCGTACTATGCATATCGCTCTCAGTACAAGATCAATTTCTGACGGAGCTGTCATTCCCTGTCATATTCGTGCGATAGCGTAAATCATTAAAGTCTAAAGAAAACTGCCGATTTCTATTGCCCGCATTCTCCCGTCATACAGGAAGACAGAGAAACAACTCTAACTAGGGACGACAACATAAAGGTTCAGTGAAGGAATTCATTTTGGGAGCGTCCCAACTCCTGCGGTCAAGAACCTTTTTTCTATATTTCAGTAAAGTTTACTCCGGCTTAATGTAACGAAACAGATTAAAAAAATCAGACGTTTCGCAACTTGTGCGGGTGGCGTCTTTCTTCAGTATACACCGGCCAACCAGTCTACCCATTCTATAAAACCCTGTAAATGTACGGTAAGGTGCCGCAGTTGATAATACACGCTGTTGACTCGTGGAGGATAAACCACGATTCTACGAACTTCCGCACCCCCCACCTCTGCTCCTGTGGCAAGGTCGACGCATAGTTGAAATTCAAAGCATGACCTGTCGTCAAGAAATGACTTCGTCCGTGTAGCAAATGTTCAATTGGTAACGTGTTCCTTGAGAAGGGTGCTTCTTCGTCTACTCGTCTCACAAATGTAAGTGGTGTCGTATTAAACATTAGACTACCAAAAAAAAAAAAAAAAAGATAAGCTTGCTGTGTACGGTAGCAAGACTCAGCGCTTCACTGAAATAAGCAAACTACACTAAAGGTCCATACGCACATTCGCGTTTGAACGCGTTTGAGTGCGTTGTGGAGTCCTTGCGGCCAGGCGCGGTCGCTTGCGGTGCGACGTGCACCTTCCCGCAACGCTCGGTAGCGCGACGCAAGCGAGTAGAGACTCGCTCAACTTTCCGAAGCGTTGCGGTGCGTTCGGGCGCGTTCGACCAATCAGAAGCCGAAAGAGGAGAGGGGGGTAACGTGTTCGCTCGCCCCACCCGGCCGACTCGGCGAGACGTATCCGGTTCACCGGTCGCAGTGCTTGCTTTTTCGTTTTCGGGAGCGGTGGGATTTTCCAAGGCTGTCATGGTTCAAGCTTGACAAAACGTCGGGGAAGCCGGCGAGATTGTCCCAAGATCGAACACTTCGACGCTGTCGCTGTGCGCCGCCATGTTGCCTCGGATTTCGCTTACTATTGGTGAGCCACTAGCGACGATAGCGCGTTCCTATTGGCTCTTGACTGCGGTTGACTGCATGTCAACGCAACTGTGCGTACAAGTTTGGCGCAAGCGGTCTTCGCAACGCAACGCGTCCGCTTGCCGCTACGGAACGCACCGCGCTCAAACGCGAATGTGCGTATGGGCCTTTACAACGAGAGGGACAGGACAAAACGTCTTCTACCCAGAGCAGGATTCTTCCAAAAATCCCAACAGAACAAATGGGCGTAGCCACGAGTCAGAGATAGTCCGCGCTCCCCCTTTGCTCCTGCCTCGTGCAAAACCGACTGTGTGAGCGGGGAGCGAGCGGGCCCTGGGGAGAGGAGGTTTCGGCCCCCCAAAAAACACTTTCACGGGGTTTTTGCAGCACTTTCGGCCGCCATGACAGGGTTAGAGTAATGCTTCCCGTTCTCCTATGTTTACCTTGTGTTTGGGTGGGTGCACGACAACTCTTTGGTCTCTAGCGAGCAATTGCGTGAAAGCTGCGCTTTAGAAATGTCAGTGTGTCGTGTTTTGAGTGGCCAATGCGCACCAGCAGGAAGAGAGTGTCACAAGTGAAGTTCCTTCGATTATCTCGAGATGCGGGATGCCACCGCCTCCGCCAATCCTGGGTGATCGCAGGACGGCGGCATAGCAGACGGTGCTCGCCTATTTTGAGCTGCTGCCCACAGGTGGCGCAACACGACAAAAGCATGGATGTGCCAGCGGCGCCTCAGCCGACCATCTCCGTAGAACGATAGGTGCCCCAACCGGACTATTACGGCACATAAATACAAGGTGACACGGTGCTCCGGGAAAGAACCCTCGAGTTCTAGGCAACTTAGTCAACACATTACAAGATTTTGCCGTACAGAGACCCGCATTGTGCGGAAGGGAGTGTAATAAAAACTTTGTCGGCTAAAAGAGATTGTCGGCTAAAATCAAACTTCCAGCTTGGTGACCCCTGCGGGGAAGCTCGGTGCGCACCTTCAGCGTCTGGGGGAGGTAGGTGCCTACTGCCGATGCAATTGCCATTCACGAAGTAGTGGAAGGCGTTTAGGGATTTGAAGGTTTTAGTCGTTCTCTGGTTCATGGATTGGGTGGCTCAAATAAGTAGTCCCGAAGATGTGCTCACAATACTTTTGCAGATTTGCCATTTCTTTGAAGAACAAGTGCTCTTCCTTTTCATCCAAGGGATCAGAAAGGCATGTTTATCCAGTATAAGTAAATTTCAGGTTGTACCGTAGTTGGTCCTCGGCAGCGAGACTTTTAAAGTATGCACCACTCCCTGCAGGTTCTCAAAAAGAAGCAAAAACAATAGCCAACTGGAAGCAGCCTACTCTACCCGGATATTTGGCCATGTTTGTTTTGGTTAACCTCTGCACACCCTGTATAGCGTCACCAGTGTCAGCTTAAGCTTTACGAATGGGGCGTGCTTGCCTGACTTTGTTTCGAGTAGTAAACAGTTCAATTAAACTATAAAAAAAGACTCGCAGGTAAACAGAGACATAACTGTAGTCACTGTCAGGATGATGATGGCAGGGGAGGCCTTCACTGAGCCTGCCTCCAGCGCTAGCTTCCTACCTTCAATCCCAATCTGGTGCCTCGAGCGTGTGCACACAAGTGAAACACGGTAAAAGGCAACCAGTGCTGCTAAGGGCTGGGCATCCGTAAGGAACGCCGTGCCATTCATATCCATTCAGTGGCTAATGATAATAATCTCTTAGCAAAAGTCGAGGTACTCTGGGTGGCTCGGAAGACATCGGTTGCAAATTTTTGCCGCCGACTTTTAGTGTCTTTCGTGATTTCGGCTTGTTGGTGAGCTGCGTGGCACGGCATCACGATTTAACCTATGCAACATAATGCCTTGTCTGTGGTCTTACGCATGATTCTAAACAAACAACCAAGGGGACAAACACGTACACGTCTTGAAGAAGTCGGCTGAATAGATTTTATTCCCACATCATGTTCTATATGTCACCCTCTGACACTACCTCCACCAAGTTTGCAGCCTTCATTCAGCCAGGGCAAGATTTTACAGGGTTCAAATGACCAATGTGAACAAGTGAATGTGAACAAATGAACAATGTGAAAAAAGTCCCCCAACTCTGTCATGTTAAAAAATTGTGTCCATGGTAATTTTGCTTGCAAAACAAACTTGGCTAAATTTCAGTCAGATTTAACCTCTATGATGTGAAGCAAGAAACATGATCAGTTGAATTAATAGGTGTCTCCGTATATAGCATGTCTCTTATTATTGCTTTCGGCGCGTTGCTAGACAATTTTTTTCAAGACCATTGGATGGACGATTGCATGAGCAGTTGCTTTAACACAGATCCTGAGCCATGAACAATGCATAACAACTCGAAAAAGGCGGGCGGGTCAGAATTTTACTGTTGCACCGAAGCTGGGGTTCTAGTTGAAAGGTAAAACAAAGCAGAGATACCACCACCCATTCGCACAGCTGGCAACTTTTGACGCTTTTTTTTTTTCAGCCTGGGAAGAAGTTTTAAAGGCCCCTGGAAAAAGAAGGTATGGATATTTTTGGGCTCCACTAGTATTCTTTTTTGTGAAATTTCTGTGGTAAAGCTTTCATGGATTAATCCTTTTCTCCTGAGTTTATTAATAGTGAATTCTAGAAGGTGCTTTTAAAGTGTTTTTTTTAACAAATAAGACAGGCTTACAAAAAGAGGCCCCTCAATGTGCTGTCTGCCTTTTCTAAGCTATGAAGCCACTGTTTGAAAAAAAAATGACTGTATACAAATCAGGTATGGGAAAACAGACAAAACCATCAGTAACAGTTTTAAATGGCTTACAAACAGAATTTAATTAGGCATACATATTATGTAAGGGCTCAGCTGGGTGCATATTTTTGGCTATTTAGTCTCCACAATCTTAGGGAAGAGTTCTACCAAGCGGCAGATCTTAATAATTGGTTCAAAGTTCTCACATTTATCTCCAGGTTAAAAAAGGGCAGCATTTCAACTAGCTTCGGCACTTTTTCATCCACCACGTCCGCCTAATTGAGGTAATGTGAAGGCCTACATGTTATAAGTGAGCGAACTTGAACATGGCCGTTATAATAGTACATTGACAAGGGCTTCTTGCAGGAAATATTGTGCACCGAAAAAAAGTTGTAAATATAAATTGAACCTGCTGGTGGGGTTGTTTCTTTTTTTGTACCCCCCAAACACACGACACATGTGCAGGGTACCTGCTAGAGACGAAAAAAGAAACTGTAGATGCTGTTCGAGATAAAAAGAAACTCTGCGGGAACTAACTACCATCCTTGGCGGACGTGAAGGTTTGCAAAAGGATACTGATTAGCCATATCATTTACTAAAATTTACATTTTTTGTTAATAGGTGAAAATTAACATGGTTCCGTTGTGAATCTTGCCAAGCATCATCAAGAGCCACTAAATCAACCCTTTTAAGAAATATATATGGCAGGGGGCACCATTTTACGGCGTTCCGAAAAAACGCTCAGTTTGGACGCATTTCTAAGTTTTGGTTTCTTATCAGAGCGCATCTTAACTGACAGGTCAAAATAATTTTTTTTTAATTATCCGAAACAATTGAGATGCCTGGACATTACCCTCAAAATTTGAAACTTGGGAACTCGGTATTTGTGAAGTAAAAAAAACAACAGAAAAAAACAACCGCATCTCCACGTGGTGAATGATGTTGATTGGGGCGAAGCTCTGGTGGTGCTTGTCTGCGTAGACGCTGAGCCGCAGCATGCCGAGCCTTTTGTTCGTTTTCATCCATGTCGCGCTGCGGTCAAATGCTCAAATGCGTATATAACCACGTTCCATTCCACACATTCTCTTTCTGACATGGATGAAAACGAATGAAAGGCTCGGCATGCTGCGGCTCACCATCTACGCAGACAAGCACCACCAGAGCTTCGCCCCAATCAACATCATTCACCACGTGAAAATGCGGTTGTTTTTTTGCCCTACACGAGCATGGGAGCACGTGCTCGTGAGCACGTGAGCGCGTCAGCTCACAAGCAGGAGCACGTGCACCCGACGGCGGATGGACATACGGACATGACTAGCCCCTAAGGAGCTTCGCCCCTAAAACAAATTTCCCAAACCCGAATTATGAAGTTTCCACGCGATCCGTGCCAATGCAGTAACGTCAAAGATTGAGTGGTCCTGCAAGTCAAGTTTCTCTTGCGCCTCCGAGCTGTCCCGAAATGTTGTGTTTTCCCGCGACCAGCCGCTCTCCTCTGTGCGTGCCGCCTGTTGCTGTGAGCACATGACGCTTCACTTTCGAGTTTGAAGTTATTTTAGGGCCCTTTGAGCGATCTCAAATTCTTTGAAACTGTGTAAGGTCAAAGAGAATGCGCAGTGGACGTTTGTGAGCGACGTGAGGGGCCACGTCGCTCCGGTTCTGGGTGAAAGACTGCCCCGGCATCGCCATCACCTTATGAATGATGAAATGCATATGTGTGGAAATCCAGCACGAATGATTTGTACTTTTTTCACTGAAATAAGTGCAAAAAAGTGGTAAGTTACAAATAAAATGGGGCTACCCTTAATTTTCTTGAACCAGGCCTCTGTAACTCTTGATCTGGCCCAGCGTCACGCCCTCATAACATAGCCAATGGTACAAAACTCGGACTTCTCTATAGTCGGTTACAAGTCAAGAAGGTAGGAGAAGCTCCACCCACAAGCGTGATGCGCCCGTTTCAAATCTCTCCGCAGTTGAAAGAAGAGTTCACTTGAAACACTCCTTGTTCCGCTTCAATGGATTCCAACTTGTCTCCGATCCCACTTTTTAAGAAAGCGACCTTTGTATTCATCAGAAAGGGAACCGAGCCCCTGAAAGCAGCCTTTGTATCCATCGGGGAGGGGGGGGGGAAGCTAATCCCCGAAAGTCGTATTTGTCTCCGTTGGTGGGGGAGAACTCAAATCTCCCTCTCGTGCCTTCCTCAATGCTAAGTCAAAGTCGAAAGATAAAGCAAATATGTACAGAAAGGCAAGCCCTTCCTCACGCGTTGGCCGTGACGTCACGGAAATGGTAGGACTCTATTGGATGCGGAGATGGCGGAGGGATATCTGATTTCCTTTGAGGGGCATTTGCCGCTACCTTCTTAACCTGTAACTGACTATACACCAACTCATGTTTACAAACAAACCGGAGCGCCCCTAGCGGACGCCACCGGTGCCGCGCATGCGCGGTGGATGGTGGGCAAGAAGCCCACCGTCGCCCATAAACAAACCATTGAATTGCGTTGTTGTCGGCGTCGGTGGGAGCCCCCGTGCTCTTTTTCGCGTTGGAATTGTTGATGCTACGTCCTCCTAACAATGTCTGACTACTTGAGCGGCTTCAGCAAAACTAACGAGGCAAAACTTTGCGTGAATAATGTGACGTGCGGCGATTCATTTCACGTGGACGCCGCAGAATGGGCACTAAAGCCTGACTCCCACGATGAGATTCTGCTCGCTGTTTTCAGACGTGACGTTGCTCGGACTGCAAACGCGTGGACCGTAGCTGAGATAGTGGACGTCGATACTGAAAACCGCAAGTAGAATCGGACTTTACAAGTCGGTGATGGCCACCGGTAACAATAATGATCAACATCTTCTTGTATCTGTGTACTTAGCCTACTTACCCCAACCAACCTTCAAAAGTGTTTTGAGGCCTGCACTTAGTTCTTATCGCAATTACCGGGTCAACGTTTGGTTTACGGGCCGCTGTCGTTTGAACGAGCTGACGACAAACAGTAGCCAAGTTGAAAGAGCAGACGACAGTTCGAACGCATGCGTAATTGGGGTACGGGCAAGAAGCACCGCGTCCCGCGTCAACAAACCACTCGAATGTCACGTTGTCGGCGTCTGTGTGAGTCTGCATACTCTTTTTCGCAATTACCGGGTCAACGTTTGGTCTACGGGCCGCTTTCGTTTGAACGAGCAGACGACAAAAAGCAGACGTTTGAAAGAGCAGACGAAAGTTCGAACGATCAAGCGGCCGTGTGAATTTGAAGACGCACTGAACCCGTGGGTGGTTCGGACAACTTGGCGGTTTTCTCTCGTTTATGTTGGAACAAGGCAAATACATCTGGCGACCGCAAAGTGTTGCCCGCGCACGCAATCGTAGTTCGACAGCGTCTGGTTTGCCCTTTTCACGGCTACTATCTACGTTCTCAGACGAACGGAGGGAACACATGAAAACTGATCTTCAAACCTTTCCAGACTCTCTTGGTACAACCCTTGTCGCAGCATTTTGACGAGAAGGCAGGTTTTTTGTCTCGTTTCTTCCAAAGGAACACAGGAATGCATGCCTGGCGCGGCGACTTCTGCCCACCGCCCCAGGCCGGAAGTGCGTCCGGCGCGCCACCACCGCGGCGTGACGTAGGAGAGTTGAGTTCGTGTATAGCAAACGCTGTGTCAAGGTCAAGTAAAACCACATTATTTAATACAATGCTTCTCTTTCCCCTTACAAAAGTAAAAACCTCTGCATCCCAGCATCAAGTGTGATTAAAGGTTGACAATACAATTACCTACAGAGCCAATCCTAATTGTCTCTTTTGAAACCTTTTTCTTTTAAATTTTTTTTTTCTTGTTTTGCTCACCACAATAGTGTTTTCCCACACCGAAGAACAGTTATTGCACTCTTCCACGTGCCTCGCAACTTCAGTTTCAGACTTGTGTTTCTCTTCTCGTCGTCCGTTTGTGTCCGGTTTAGAATCATGGTAACAAAAAACCAGCCTGCCTGCTTATTGACTGTCTTCTGTGGTCATCTTGCTTGAAATCAAGGCTGCAAACGTTGCCTCACTTGTCTGGAACTCGTGTGCTCTTTCCCTGATCCTTGCAGATACCTTTCTGAAAGCAAGCAGTGACAGTGTGTCAACAGAATACTTCTGAACACTACCCCTTTTTAAGAAAAAAAATTATGCGAATATATACAGTGTGTCTGAGCCATATTAGGACATAAAAAATTATGAACTGAGGGCACTTTAGCTTTTTACAATGTCTTTTGGTGGCATACTTATCACACTCAAATTTTGTGAGTGCAGTGATGTGATTGCTGCACCAATTGTGCCAAGGGGCTAACCCTGCTACATCCTGCCACATTTTTACAAAATATGGGTAATCTGCGCCAAGCCTGCGCCAAAGGACCAATTTCGGTCTCCTTTCAAAACCGAAACTAAACTGAGTGCCATAATTGAGCATGTGTGTTACGTGGCGCAAGCAGCCGTCCGTCACAAGGTACCCTGCATCGATTGTCCATCCAATCTCGTATCGCATCTTTTCGTAAACATATTTTTAACAATATATGCGGGTGTGTGCGGACGCTCCGACGCTAGCGTGCCGAGTACCAGCCATGTCGTCATGCTGTGAAACAAAACCATTTTTTTTTTGCGCGGCGGGAGTTACTTTGTGAGCTAAAGCACTTGCTCCTGAAAGCAAGAGCCGTGGGAAAACTATATTTGGTCCCTGCCTTTCAGTCACCGTGGTCGCACGATGTCAGGTGGTGCCGTCCCCCCGTCGCTGCAGATATGGCGCTTTCTAAAATGAAACTAAGTACCGCCGCATGTTCATCGACATCCCTCTTGTTTAAAGGGATACTCCGGCGATTTTTTGAGTTACCTCAGCTAACTTTATTTTCTGACTCTCCCGGTTTTTACCCTTCCCGGTATGTTATTTAGTATCACGAAATTCACGATAGTTATTGTGAAATCGGCAAATAAAAATGGTGCAAAAACCAACATTCAAATATACCCCCCCTTTTCAGTGCCGTGACGTCAGTGGCGGGCAGGCTTGCCAGTTGAGCAAGCACTTTAAAAAATAGAATATGCCAATCATTTCTTCCGTGCTGGAGCGCTGGTACTGGAGCGAGTTTCCAAAGCATTCATTTGACACCATGATACTGCTTCGAATCAGTTAATAACAAATTCTACAGTCCAAAGAGTGAACCCCCTGCCTTGCACTTATGTCACTTTTTCGTTGTTGCCAGTAGAGACTTTCAGTTTGAAAAACATGGTGAGGACCAAAACTCTAAATTCAATAACTTT